CCTGTGACATGGTACGAAAGGTGACTTGCCCAGCGCTGCACTGCCAAAGCGAGCTCACTGCCGTCCTCCGCAGCCGCGGCACAGCAAACCCTGCGAGGGCTCGGCAGCGGGAAGACGGGCTGCAAGCACCCAGGCACCAGCGCTTCACTGCCTCTCCTCCCCGCGCAACAGAGCAGCCCCCCAGCAGCCCCCTCCTCGTCAGGGAGCAGCAGTTTCCTTCCCACGAGAGCCTGAGCTCCTGCCCGTGTGCCTGTCGCTGCTCCCTGCATTCATGGAAACTTCACCGAACGCTAAGCCCTCGGTAGCTGCGAGGCACTGGAACACTGACAAGCTGATCCCGTTCCAAGCTTGATTTCCTTCCAAATATGCAGAGAGCTGCTTTGGACTGGGACTAACAGCAGCCTCCTCCGGACCCCACAGCCAGCGGAGGGTAGGAAAGGAGCCCCTCCCCTCCCTCCACCAGTCTCGGGCTGGGGATAAGTGTCCCACTCAGGGATTAAATGACCTTCTGTTCCCAGCCCCAGCATCACACTTAACCCTTTGCACCCACAGCCACACTTGCACCCTGAGCCAAACAGGGACACAGGCCCCTCCAGACACCCATCATACCCCACACGGTGCAGAGCGTGCTGTGGCTCCCCGGCATCCCCCTCTACCCAAGAGTCAGGCACGCAGCAAGGAGCAGGGCGGGCTCGGAGCCTGCATGCATCGAGGCAAGGCCAGCGTGGCTTGGGATGGCTCTAACCCATCAGCCAGGCTGCCAAGAATCAAGGGATGCTCCTCAATCCTTCCTTGAAAAGCAAAGCAGCAGAAAATAAAGCTGGGATCAGCTTGGTGGAGTGGGTCTGCTGCTCCTTTGATTTTGGGAACCCAAAGCTCACTGGCATCCCAGGGTGCTTCCAGCCCGGTGCATCCTGCCCTCGGCGCCAAAGGCTTCAGCTGAGCCCCAGTGCTGCTGGGAGCTTTGGCTGCGCTAAAGGGACACTCCCCACCCCATGCAGCCCCAGACACCTTGAAGCAGCCCCGGTCCTGGCCTGGGAGCAGGGGGAGGGTGAAGCACACGGGCCCTCGCCGATCCCCGCCACGGCTGCGCTCAACAGGTGCACCGGCTGCGCCGCTGCGGGGAGAGAAATCCTGGCGTCCGCTTCAAAGGCACGCGGGCTCACGGCGGGTTTGAAAAGGAGC